CTTGGCACTAACGCAGTGTGCTAACCGCTGCACCACCACTCCCCTTGGCACAGACTCACGCAGCGTGCTAACCGCTGCACCACCACTCCCCTTGGCACAGACTAATGCAGCGTGCTAACCGCAGCACCACCACTCCACCTTGGCACTAACGCAGCGTGCTAACCGCTGCACCACCAACTCCCCTTGGCACGGACTAACGCAGCGTGCTAACCGCTGCACCACCACGTGTGTGCGTGTGTGCGTGTGTGTGTGTGCGTGTGTACACATGTGTGCGTGTGTGTGCGTGTACGTGTGTACGTGTGTGCGTGTACGCGTGTGTGCGTGTACGCGTGTGTGCGTGTACGTGTGTGCGTGTACGCTGTGTGCGTGTGTGCGTGTACGTGTGTGTGCGTGTGTGCGTGTACGCGTGTGTGCGTGTACGCGTGTGTGCGTGTACGTGTGTGCGTGTGTGTGTGTGTGCGTGTGTGTGTGTGTGCGTGTGTGTGTGTGTGCATGTGTGTGCGTGTGTGCGTGTGTGTACGCTGTGTGTGTATGTATGTGCGTGTGTGTGTGCGCGTGTACGCGTGTGTGCGTGTATTCGTGTGCGTGTGTGCGTGTGTGTACGCGTGTGTGTGTATGTATGTGCGTGTGTGTGTGTGCGCGTGTACACGTGCGTGTGTGCGTGTATGCGTGTGCGTGTGTGCGTGTGTGTGTGCGTGTGTGCGTGTACGCATGTGTACATGTGTGTGCGTGTACGCGTGTGTGTGCGTGTGTGCGTGTGTGTGTGTGCGTGTACACGTGTGTTAATGTGTGTACGTGTGTGTTTGCAGGAGCAACGCCTGCTGATGGTGCTCAGCACTTGCCGATACCTCTCCCAGCACGGCCTGCACAGCCTGGGCCAGCTCATGGAGCGCCACCACCTTCCTGCCGTCGCATCCGTGCTGCAGGTACTCCTGCTGCAGGCACTGCTGCAGGTACTGCTGCAGGTACTCAAGTTCTGCTGCTGCAGGCACTGCTGCTGCTGCAAGTACTCCTGCTGCAGGCACTGCTGCAGGTACTCAAGTTCTGCTGCTGCAGGCACTGCTGCTGCTGCAGGTACTCCTGCTGCAGGTACTGCTGCAGGTACTGCTGCAGGTACTGCTGCTGCAGGTACTGCTGCTGCAGGTACTGCTGCTGCAGGTACTGCTGCAGGTACTGCTGCAGGTACTCCTGCTGCAGGTACTCCTGCTGCAGGTACTGCTGCTGCAGGTACTGCTGCAGGTGCTGCTGCAGGTACTGCTGCAGGTACTCCTGCTGCAGGTACTCCTGCTGCAGGTACTCCTGCTGCAGGTACTCCTGCTGCAGGTACTGCTATTGCTGCAGGTACTGCTATTGCTGCAGGTACTGCTGCTGCAGGTACTGCTGTTGCTGCAGGTACTCCTGCTGCAGGTACTCCTGCTGCAGGTACTGCTGTTGCTGCAGGTACTCCTGCTGCAGGTACTGCTGTTGCTGCAGGTACTCCTGCTGCAGGTACTGCTGCTGCTGCTGCAGGCACTGCTGCAGGTACTCCTGCTGCTGCTGCAGGCACTGCTGCAGGTACTGCTGCAGGTACTGCTGCAGGTACTCCTGCTGCAGGTACTGCTGCAGGTACTGCTGCTGCAGGCACTGCTGCAGGTACTCCTGCTGCTGCTGCAGGCACTGCTGCAGGTACTGCTGCAGGTACTGCTGCAGGTACTGCTGCTGCAGGTACTCCTGCTGCAGGCACTGCTGCAGGTACTCCTGCTGCTGCTCCAGGTGCTGCTGCAGGTGCTGCTGCAGGTACTGCTGCAGGTACTGCTGCAGGTACTGATGCGGGTACTGCTGCAGGTACTGTTGCAGGTACTGCTGCAGGTACTGCTGCGGGTACTGTGGTGTGTGTTCTGGCTCAGTGGTGTGTTTGACACGGCCATTATGAACCCCTTAAGAGAGACCCGGGAGTTGAAACAAAACAGATTTGACCAGGTAAGGGCCGCTGAGATGCGATGTAGCTGTTTATTCAGAAGCGAAACCTGGTCATCACAAATGATAGCTCAACCAAGTGTCTTGTCGTCATCATCGTGTGGACATTAATAGTAGCAGTTAAATAAAGTCACGTAGAAGGGAAATAATAAAATAGCGAAAATAAAACATAATAAAATACAATTCTCACGACGTTTCGGCCACAAAGCAAGCAGCCGTCCTCAGACCTGTTCTTCACCTGAGGACGGCTGCTTGCGTTGTGGCCGAAACGTCGTGAGAATTGTATTTTATTATGTTTCATTTTTATTGTTTTATTATTTCCCTTCTACGTGACTTTACCGAAAGAAACAAGAAGATTAATCCCTGCAGTCACGAAAGCTTTAAATCGAAATTTAGCAGTCAAATACTCGATATGCGTGACGTTGATGCTTCAAGTGGAGAGCAAAACCGGGAGGACCCAGAGACAAATCCACGCGACCATGGGGAGAGAGAGAGACTCGGACTCGGCAGGCGTTGTCAGGGTCGGGATCGAACCCACCACCTCCTGTACACCAGGCGAGGTAGTTAACATCTCCTAGCCACCGTGATGATGATGAGAGAGACACGCAAACTCCAAATATACAGCAGCAGGTATCAGGGTCGGGGTTGAACCCACGACCTCCTGCACACCAGGCGAGGTAGTCAACATCTCCTAGCCACCGTGTCGTCAGGCTCTGGATCGAACCCACGACCTCCTGCAGACCAGGCGAGGTAGTCAACATCTCCTAGCCACCGTGTCGCCAGGCTCTGGATCGAACCCACGACCTCCTGCAGACCAGGCGAGGAAGTCAACATCTCCTCGCCACGTGGTAACAACACATTCGACATTTCAAGATCCGCCGCAAGGGGACAGGGTCAATGCGAGAGACGGAGGTGGGTCGTTAATAAATAAATAAATATCTTCGTTCACGGAGCAGCGGTCACTTGAAGAGCCGCGGTTTTGGCGACCTCCTGGGACCGACTGGACAAAAAAAAACACGTCAAGAGCTTCACGGCTCATCGGATTCTTCCGTCTTAAAATGAAGATTTCTCGTTCTGACCTGGGGCCACGGGCCGAGTCGTCGGAGGCTCGTGTGAGGGGGCCCACTCCGAACACCCCGCAGGGACTCGCAAACAAGATGCCGAGACACATGCTGCATCATTAGAACTCCTTTGCCAGGACCAACGTATAATAATAATAGGGGTTTTTCCTATTTTTTCTGGCAACAAAACTGAAACTTTTTTCTACGAGGAATCATGTGTGCATTAACCACAATACTTGTGGTCAGAATGCAAAAAAAACACAAGTATTGTGGTTAATGCAGACATGATTCCTCGTCAAAAAAGGTTTAAATTTTGTTGCCAGAAAAAAATGGGAAAACCCTATTATTATTATTATACTTTGGTACAGTCTCCTGCTGGAGAGGCACAGAGAGAAGAACAAAGCTGTGCACGTGTCGTTCCTCGACCTTGAAAAGGCATTTGACAGGGTCCCCCACGACCTCATCTGGCACTCGCTTCGATCCGATGGAGTCCCTGAAATCTACGTGCATTGGGTGCAACTCCTATACAAGAACGTCACCAGTGCAGTCAGCTGTGCAGTGGGCATATCACCGCCATTTCCCATCAGCGTTGGAGTGCACCAAGGATCGGCCCTGTCACCACTCCTGTTTATCCTGTGCCTGGACACGATCACTGCCGACCTGCACACGCCCCTTCCATGGTCAATTCTCTACGCGGATGACGTCCTCCTCTCAGATGAAGAGAGAGGAGAAGTGGAAAGACAAACGCGCCTGTGGAAGGAACGTTTGGACGAAAACGGGATGAGGTTCAACATCAAAAAGACGGAGTATATGGAGTGTGGCCCCCAAACCGATGGCACCATCAGTATTGACGGAGAAGATCTGAAGAAAGTGACGGACTTTAAGTACCTGGGCTCCACCATCAGCTCAGATGGTAGCATCACGACTGATGTGAGGTCACGAGTCAATGCGGCGTGGATGAAATGGAGGCAAGTCACCAGAGTCCTCTGTGATCGGAAAATGCCGGATAGGCTGAAGGGAAAAATATACAAGACCATCGTCCGACCGGTGGCACTCTATGGATCCGAGTGCTGGCCAGCCACAACTGTACACGAACAAGCTCTCCACACCATGGAGATGAGGATGCTCAGATGGAGCCTCGGGCTCACTCGATGGGATCGTGTCATGAACGAAGACGTTCGGAAGCGACTTGGTGTGGCCCCCATTACGGACAAGATGCTTGAGGCAAGGCTTCGCTGGCACGGCCACGTGATGCGAAGTGAAGAGTCATCAGTGGCCAAGACTGCCGAGCGTATTGAGCCAGAGGGCCGCCGTCCACGCGGACGTCCGAAGAAGCGATGGATGGACCGAATAAAGGAAGACATGAAGACGGTCAACGCATCCCCTGAAGATGCCCTGGACCGAGCCAAATGGAGAAGACAATGCCGAAAAGCGGACCCTGCGCCACAGCGGGAACAACGCTAGGAAGAAGAAGGTACTGGCATAGAGGAGGTCTAATGATCTAGATGTCTCGGCATCTTGTTTGCCCTTGTTACTTTGATAGTGCATCGTCTCTGAACTGTACGCCTTGTGGCGTCCTCTGGTCTAGCACCAATTGATACGAGGCTCAAAAGAAAGCTGTCTCTGGTGTGGACCAATCAGTTTCAAGGGTACAATGTCAATACATTATCAGAGTGTGTGTTTTTGTTTGCTTTTTGACCACAAGCATTGTGGTTAATGCATTAACATGATTCGTTTTGTTGTCAACAAAAAACAACTTTTCTCTGGCCTGGACTTTTGCAGCTGTTCTAGACTAATTTCAGGGTGCTGATTCCAAATCTGATCTTAGATTTTCTCCATCACATCTCATTTTTGTGCTATCGGCATACCCCATTTCATTGATTTTACCCGAAATTAACTCTGTCACTTATGATTGCAAGTTGTTGCGAGTCAGTGACTGCTTTAGTGGTAAATATGGTGCTGTGTTTTTAGGATAGTGTGTTTATAATATCATTTTATGTAGATGTCCACATTTATTTAATATTTTTCTTCTGCAGTTTTTATTGAAAATGCAATATTTGATATCTCAAAAACCTGATGTGATAGACAAAAACTGATGCCATATTTGGAATTACCTTACATCCGTTGGAATACCTTATGCCAGAAGAAGTGTGTTGACCAGTGTTATTATTATAAGATGCCGAGCTCGCTCTGTCCGCTAGGGGGCAGTGCAGGACTAGCTATTGACTCTCACAGAGATCACCTAAAACTGTAACACAATCTATGTTTCGATTTAAAGCTTTCGTGACTGCAGGGATTCATCTTCTTGGTTCTTTCGGTAAAGTCACGTTGAAGGAAAATAATAAAATAATAAAAATAAAACATAAAATACAATTCTCACGACGTTTCGGCCACAACGCAAGCAGCCGTCCTCAGGTGAAGAACAGGTCTGTCGAGAAGACAAAGTCTGCTTGCGTTGTGGCCGAAACGTCGTGAGAATTATTATGTTTTATTTTATTATTTTATTATTTTCCTTCTACGTGACTTTACCGAAAGAACCAAGAAGAACATTCTATGTGTGTTTACACGCTTTTATTTAACTCACTCCGTCTGTTGCCGTGTCCTCAAAAAACCTTGTAACTCAATTTTAACCCACTTCCCAATGTGGCATCGACTGCACACTTGGTATACTTATGGCATACTGATGACAAAAGTATATTTTATCATACAACATCCAAAACGTATATTTTTAAACATTTTCCACGCTTTTATTTAACTCACACTGTCTGTTGTCGTATCCAAAATTCATGTAACTCAATTTTTATTATTATTATGATTTTCCACGCTTTCTATGAACTCACTCTGTCTGTTGTTGTTGTTGTATCCTCAAATGTTGTAACTTTATTTTAACCCACTACCCAACGTGGTAT